AAGAATCCGCCCTGGCTGGTGTAGCTCAGTGGATTGAGCACAGGCCTGCGAACCAGACAATCGCGGTTCGATTCCCAGTCAGGGCACATGCCTGGGTTGCAGACCAGTTCCCTGCAGGCCAATTCCCAGCAGGGGATGCATGAAAGGCAACCATACATTGATGTTTCTCTCCCTCTCTCCTTCCCTTCCCCTCTAAAGATAAATAAATAAAATCTAAAAAAAAAAAAAAAGAATCCCTGTAAATGGAAAAAAACCCCGATTTTTAGTTTAAGTAATAGCTAATAAGCTTAGTAATCAATGCATGTAAAAGCTTTTGTTCCAGGAACTGAAGGTATGACCCACCCTGACTCCAGGGGACGGTGGCAGTTCCACCTTTGTGCCTCACAGGAGGACCGTGAGCAATTCAAGGGGATATCTGAGCCATTGTACTCCAGGGAGAGGTGACCACCGCCCAGGACACAGCTAAAGACCACCTGGGGCACAGCTTAAGACCACCACCCAGGGCAAGAATGCTGGAGTTGTTTTTTTTTTAATCCAATTAACTTCTCCCTGAATTTCAAAATCCCTCACCACATCCTGTTTATTCCTTGCTATAAAAACTTTGGTCGGGAAAGAAAAGATAAGATGGCCTGTTAGGGTACGAACCTGCCATTTTCTCAGATCGCTGGCCATCTTCTCAGATCACCAGCCATCTCAGATCGCCGGCCATCTGAATAAAGCGCCCATAAAGATTCGATCCCTGACTCTGCTTATTGGGTTTGGTGGTGACAGGCAGCCCGAACGCCGGTGTCTTTGCCGGTTTCAGCAGGTTTAGAGCTTACACATGAGTGGACAAGCCTGGGCTTTCCTTCACCAAGGCCAGCTCAGCTCTACCAGTGGGCCAGCGATGGTGACAGCCGGGAGCACCAGCCAGTTCTCTGGTGGCAGGTCAATGTCCCTGGAATAGGCGCTAATTCAGGAATGGGATTTCTGTTCCTTGCCTGTCATGTCCCTGTCAACACGGCTGATGATGGACCCATGCGGTGTCTTAAGGGCCGTGGTGTGTTAGACCCTCTCTCTCCTGGACGCTCTTTCCAGCAGAAGTAAGACAGACGCTGAATGTGACGTGGATCCTGGAACAGGAAAATGACACCAGTGGGAAAGCTAGGGAAACTCAAACAAAGTCCGCAGCTCAGTTAATACTATTGCACCGATGTTCATTTCTTAGTTTTAATGAAAGTGTCATGGTTATGTAAGATATTAACACTAGAGGAAGCGGGGGGGGGAAAGGCACGTGGGAATTCTGCACTCGATTTGCAACTCTGTAAATCTGAAATTATTTCAAAATGAAACTACTGAATTTTCAAAAAGAAGTAAGGCAAGGGGCTCATGTCAACAGGATCTGCTGATCTGGCCGTGTGTATCCATCCCTCGGAAGCTGGTGGCTTTACAGAATGGTGGGCTGGCCTGGTAATGGCCCAGTTTGGTGCCCACTAGGAGACATCACTTAGCAGAGATGAGGTGCTGTCGGGAGGCCGCCGAGTGTGCTCTGAACTGAACCAGCAACAGCAGACGGTGCTTTTCTTCCCAGGCTAAAAAACTCAAAGGTGGGGCAGAAGGGGGGGGGCTGATGGCTTAGACTGCACAATGACGAGCTCTCCCAGTGGTCATTCTCGTCCTGTCAGCTTGCTCCTGTGACGTCCGAACTGGCCAGGAAGGAATGCTGCCCCCAGGGCACAGAATAGTAACTCTTTTGAAGTGGAAGCTGAGATGGTCTTCAGCCATTTGAAGCTCCTCCTGGAACCAGGACCACAAACAGAAAAGGAGTGTGCGCCCCTCCTGTGGCCAGGAGGTGTTTGGGAGGGGCCGGGAGAATGCCTGGGGCACCATGGTCTAAGTAGAGGTGCAATTTTTTTTTATAAATCTAAAGTTTTGCGGTTTTTAAAAAAGATTTTATTTATTTATCTTTAGAGGAGAAGGGAAGGAGAGGGAGAGAAATATCAATGTATGGTTGCCTCTCGTGCTTCCCCTGCTGGGAACTGGCCTGCAACCCAGGCATGTGCCCTGATTGGGAATTGAACTGCAGATGTTTGGTTCGCAAGCCTTCACTTAATCCACTGAGCTACACCAGCCAGGGCTAAAGTTGTTTTCTTTTTTTTTTTTTAATATTTTATATATTTATTTTTAGACAGAGGGGAATTGGAGGGACAGATGAGGGAGAGAAACATCAATGTGTGGTTGCCTCTCTTATGCCCTCAACTGGGGACCTGGCTGGCAACCCAGGCATATGCCCTGACTGGGAATTGAACCACTGACCTTTTGGTTCACAGGCCGGCACTCAATCCACTGAGCCACACCAACCAGGGCTTAAGGTACTATTCTACCCAGAGCCCCACCAAGGGCTCAAACTCCTCAGGAATAATAAAGGTTGGATTCACCCCTGGACCCTGAACTTCAGCCAGTGAGATTGTGTCTGAAGGCAGAAGACCGGGACTGCGGGTGGAAGAAGGAAGCCATGGCCACACGGTCCACCGCCCCATGACTTTGGCCCCAGCTGGCTTTCCTTTTCTACTGCTGGAGCCACATGGGATATTCACCTTTCCCCATTAAAAAAATAACTATTATTATATTTCCATGAGCCTTGGCTGGTGTGGCTCAGTGGACTGAGCGCCAGCCTGTGAACCAAAGGGTCGCCAATTTCATTCCCAGTCAGGGCACGTGCCTGGGTTGTGGGCCAGGTCCCCAGTAGGGGGCGCCTGAGAGGCAACCACACATTGATGTTTCTCCCTCTCTCTTTCTCCTTCCCTTCCCCTCTATAAAATAAATAAATAGAATCTTAAAAAAGAATAAGTAAATGTTTCTCTTTCTTATGCCTCATCTTTCCCTTCTCCTTGGGAGACCCCAGATTCTGACCAGTGACCTATGACCTCACCAGGAGCAGGTCATGCCCTTGGGCTGTGGCCCTCGGGGAGGGAGGCCGAGTGAGTTTGCAACTCTGCGTTATCACTGCATGAGGTTAAATTTGTTTTCAGATACTTGCTTTCAATCCTATCTAGTAATCTCCCCAGAAACTTGGACTTCGTCCTTGACAGCTCCCTCCCTTTCACCCTTCACTCAACAAGACGTCGAGACCTGAAAACTTCATTTTCCAAAGAACTCTTCACCCCATCTCCTTTTCGAGATTTCTGGCCACTGCCCTAATTCACATCTCCCCTAATCTAATAATCATCTCCAGGTCCCTGAACTTCTACTCCCTTTTCAATCTTTTTTTAAAAGATTTTATTTATTTTTAAAGAGAGGGGAAGGGAAGAAGAAAGAGAAAGAGAGAAACATTGATGTGTGGTTGCCTCTCACGTGCCCCCTACTGGGGACCTGGCCTGCAACCCAGGCATGTGCCCTGACTGGGAATCGAACAAGTGACCTTTTAGTATACAGACTGGCACTCAATTCACTGAGCCCCACCAGCCAGGGCTCCCTTTTCAATCTTATCAAAAGCCAATACCTTCTAAATGTAAGCACTACCAAATTACTCCCAGCAGACAAGGTTGTTTAGTAAAGCAAACAAGACCCCTTGGGTCGCCCCCAACCCCACCTCTTCAACAGCAAGTCCTAGGACCTAGGCCTATCTCTCGCCATTCCAACAACTGCGATCTGGTGGGTGTTTGGATTCAATACCCCGCCCCCTCCACACACACACATTTACACCTCTGATTCTACTATACCTTCAACCCGACTTGCCATCCATCCACAACTTAACTGTTTAGGACTCCACTCAGGGCATCACCCCCTTCTAGAAGCCTTCCCTGTCAGTCCTCCCAGGATGCAACACACCCATTCAGTGGGATCAGGTGGCCCTCCCACGGGGTTCCCAGCACAACCCGCACTGACTCTGCTGTACTGAGTGCATGTCTGCGGCTCCTTTAGACAGTCGTCGCTCTCTCTCCTTCATCGGATCCCCAGCCCTTAGTGGGGTCCAGCCACCGATCTGCTCAGCAAAGCCTGTCTCTCCACTACTCAATTATCTTCCTAGGCTTCGAATTGTCCTAAGGGTGGAGAGAAAGTTCTTACCTGATCTCTTGGCCTGGCCCTTCAACACTTGACCCAGTCTCCCTCTCCAACCTCAGTTTAACCACTTCCTATTGTCCGCCCGCCCCCAGCCCCCCCAGTGGCCTGTCACAGTTCAGGTCACCTGTGTATTGCTCTGGACATCTGTCTGCCTGCTGTGTGTGTCTACACCACCCTTGACTTTCCTTTCCCCATGGCAACACTTAATGATTCAACTGTAAATGCTACTTTTTTAAAATTGTCACCTGAGAATATGCTTATTGATTCTTCAGAGAGAGAGGAAGGGAGAAAGAGAAAGATCAATCGGTTGCCTTCCATCTGCGCCCCCCATGGGGGATCAAACCTGCAAACCAAGCACGTGCCCGCACCGGGGATGGAGCCATCAATCTTTTGGCACATGGGACGACACTCCAGCCATCGGAGCCACCCGTGCAGGGCCTAATTGTAAACTCTTTGTTCCGTGTCTTCCCTGCTAAATCCTGTGAAGAGGGGAGCCACGTTAGTCTTGCTCGGTCTCCTCCCCCCCCTGAGGCCCGGGGCACAACAGACCCCCCAATCATATTAAATAAATCATGAAATCATAGCCTCTTGGTCGCAGGCCACCTGGGGCAATCTAAAGGACTAGGAGGAGGGCCACAAGACTGGACATGAGACGGGGGAAAAGGACCTCCCATCTCCAGTCATCGATTCAAACTACCCTGGAGAATGCTGGATCCTGGGCAGAGCGTGGAGGGGAAAATGGGAGCGGTCCTCAGGCAGAGTAAATGTCTCCTCAGGCCTGCCCCCTGGGGTCTCAGGATATCATGGGCTCTTCAGACCCCACCACTCACGGGGCCGGTTGCTGAACTAGGGAAGAGCAGAGTGTTTCTAAGTGGGGTCAACAGGGATTCAGCAGGGAGAGGAAATAATGGCAGAAAAGACTTGAAAATGGGGTTGGGAAATGGATCCATAACACATGCAGCCAGATAGCTTTACTCATTCCGTGACTAAGAGAAGGAGGGAATTCACTGATTCGCTGGGGCTTCTGGGACGGTTGGCTCTGGGCGAGGAGTGCGGCCGAGAAGGGCCCGTCAGGGTGAGGGGCTCAGGCGCCATCAGCTTATCCTACAAGCGCCTTTCTCCTTGAAGGGGTTCTTGTCTTCAGGGACGCCTTTGAGAAGAGGGTCGTTTCCTGCTTGGGCCTCCACGTAATCCTTGATTTCCTTTCCTGTCTTGGAAATCTGCGAGAAAGCAAAGCAAGCTTTTAACCCTTGTTTATTGCTCAGGATCCACGACTTGGCCAGTCCCAAGGAAACAGACGTCTGGATAAGGTGGAGACTGTGGCCAGAGAGGAGGAAGATGAAAGGGACAGGCAGGTGGGGAGAGGGGTGTCAGTTCCTTGGCCAGAACCGCCAAGCCTGACTTGCTTGCAAGGGATGCTGGGCCAGGCCTAGTCCAGAGACAGGGCGGGACAGGCTCAGAGGCTCTCTCCTGCGCTGCTCCGTGGGGTCAAACCCCAGCCTCCTGCCCCTTCTACTGCCCTGGAGAGGTCCCACCACCCCACTGTCCATCACTTCCTCCAAGTCCCAGCTCCATGAGAAATGGAAAGGGATGGAGAATTGGGGGAAGGGAAGGGAAGAGCAGGCTCACCAGAGCTCTTGGGTTCCTCACTTCCTTCTTCAGCTGCTCCACCTCCATCCTTAATAGCTCCTTCTCACTGAGCTCCTGGGCCATCCCACCCTGGAGAGACTGGTCCTGGAGAGGATTTCATGGCCCAAGTTGCAAATCACCCCCCAGCTCCCACAGCTCCCTCCTCTGCACTCTCTACACCTTGACTTCTACCTTTTCCCTGCCATGCCCCTCAGTTCAGACCCCTCATTGTTCACTGCATCGTCTCTACCTCACCTGCACCTTGAGTCTAGTCTCAGGAGGTGAGAAGGCTCCCGATCTGATGGGGGAGACACGATCTCTGCCCTCGAATAAGGACCTGTCTATGGAGGAAACAGGGATCAAAGACGGGGGAAGGGAGATCAAAAGGGTTTCTTTCATCGAAGCAGATTTGGGAAGCAAAGTTGTTGCTGCATGTATTGCACAGGTGGAAGTTTTAAGGGAGCTCTGGGTCCCATTCCGGGAGAGGGAACAGCAGTGGTTCAGAGAAGGGCCCCCTGGGGCCCGTGCAACTCCAGCTTTGACCCCAGCTCTGCTGCTTCCAGGCTGTGAGGCCTTAGGCAAGTCACTCAGCTCCTCGAGTCTTAGCTTTCCCATCTGTAAAGTGGGTATAGTAATAGTATCTAGCTTATAGAAATATTGGGAGTACTAAAAAAATAATGCATCTAAAATATTTTAATACACCATCTGGCACATAATGAACACAATACATTTATTATTATTACTATTCTCATCATCATCAACATCATCACTACACAATTATCTGGAAGGCCTGTCCAGCACCTAACCTCCATAAGTCTCAGACTGGATCCCAGCCCAGCCCCTCTCACCTGCCAGGAAAGAGCGTGCACTTCAAGTCACTCCTGCCCGGCCCAGGCAAGCTGGTGTTTGAGCCTCTCAGCTCCTGCTCAGCTGACAGTCTCTGGATGAAGCAGATGGTCTGGACGTCCAAATCTCTGATGCCTAAGCTGATCACGGGCTCAAGGTTCTAAGCCCATCCATCGGCCTGAGCTTCCAAGCTCTCACTGCTGCTGGGGTGGACACCCTGCCCCCGGCGTGAGCTCCACTCCTCTAGTGACCGACCGCTCTGGGTAGAGCCTATTTCCCCAGTTCTCACTGTCCAGCCCTGCATGCTCCCCTCCCAGGGCTTCCTCTCCCAAGCCCTCCCCTCCCCTACCTCTGACACTGCACTTCCTCCCCAGTGACCCGAGTCCTAGATCAGCTCCTAGCTTCCTTCACCCAAGAAGCCTTTGTGTGCTGGACCGGAGCCCCCAATTTCATAGGGTTCTTCCAGCTCCCTCTTCGTTCACTCATTCAGTCTGCATGTGCTCCCACAGGATGCTCTGTCAATTAGCACTTGGGGCCATGGCCGTCCTGAACACCCATACCCATGCTTCCTGGCCTCCCTGCCTCCCTCTGAGCCCTGGGCGTGAGTCTCCCCCAGCACAGGGCACTTGCCCTGATCCTTCTCTTGGGATTCCCCCCAGGACCACCCAAGATGACAGACACTGAGCTTCTGTCCCATGACAAGGGGACCCTACGAGGAGCAGATGTCGAGGGACCGATATGGTCAGTGAGGGATCCTCTTTTTCTTCTGCCTCTAGGATGGCAGGCTGGGTGCTGGGAGGGGTGGGGAGTGGGCCCGGGACCCATCCTAGTAGGCTCAGAATCTCCCAGAATCTGAGCTAGGACATGACCCTGGAGGCCATTTAGTCTAACTCCTGGTTGGTGCAAGAAATAGAGCACCTACCTCCTGAAGGCACTCAGGGCTCTGTCCATTGCTGCTTCCTAAACCGGACCCGTTCCTCTGGAACTTGAACCTCGTACTTCTCAAAGCCAAGTCCTTTCTGTTGTCTCATCTGGGTCCCTCACATTACACTCGGTCCGTTTCACCTCCTCTTGCCTCAATCGGGCAGAGCCTGTACACCAGGCCCTCATTGCATGCAGCCCTGCAGAGCCTTGGTAACACACTTCAGGGGACCGCTGGCTGTGTCTTCCTGGTGTCCAGCCTGACTCCTGTTGCTGTTGCATTGCTTGTCTTCCATTGTTGCTGCTCGGCCACCCTGCAGGCCCCCGGCAGGCCCGGTGTCCGTATCCTCTCCACCCTCCGCTCTCCTGTCTCTTGGTGACTCATCCCCGGGCTTCCCTAGGAAGCGCCCACCCTCTGTCCTTTCCTCCCCTTCCATGGGTGGAAAATCCATCTCCACCCCCTGCCCCAGAGCGAGCCAACCCCCTTCCTCCACAATCTGCACCCCTCCTCCCCAACAGTTTCCTCTCCAGGCCCAGGGAGCAATCACAGACCTTGGCTTCCTCTGCTAGGAGGGATTGGGGTGCTGGGCCCCCAAAGGGGCCACTGGCTTCCCCCTTCCTCTGGGCAGGGGACAGAAAGGCGCAGTCCCAGGGAGCAAGGACCCACTTCCTCTTGTCCCGGAATGAGCATGCCTGACCTTTGCAAGCAGGTTTGGGTCTGTCTCGAAGAGGAAACCAAAAGCAGTGAGAGAGGGAAGGCAGAGCAGCCAATCAAGGGCAGGGTGAGCACAAAACCAGCGGCTCCCCGGGGAGCCGGCAGAGGCTGGGGGCCATGGCAGAGCTGCAGCAGCTGCAGGAGTTGGACATCCCCACGGGCCGGGAGGCTCTGCGGGGCAACCACAGCGCCCTGCTGCGAGTCGCCGACTACTGCGAGGAAAACTACGTGAAGGTAGGCAGAGCAGGCGCGGGCTCCGCCACCCAGCCCCCAGAGGGGCCCTGGGCAAGGGCACCCCCAGGCCAGGCCATGGGGGCCATCCTGACAGGTGCCTGTCCTGGCGCCTCAGCTTCAACCCAGCCCCCCAGACTTTAACTGTGACCCCATGCTACCCAAGCCTCCTTTGTGCCCCTTTTCTCCCCCAAAGCCTCGGATGTCCAGGCAGTGCTGTTGCATCCTACTATCAGGCCTGACCCCAGGTTCCTCTCCTTCCCAGCCTCTCACTCAAATCCACAGGCCCAGAGACTTGTCCTCACAGGAATGCTGGAGCCATCCTTTTGTTTTTGGGCTGGCTCCAGGTGAGCCTTCACGGGGACTTCCCAAACACTGCAGTGAACTTGAGAGGGACCAGGGAGAGCGGGAGAGCAGAGAGAGGGCAGACTAGGCTGGGTGAGAGAGACAGGGTCAGACACGGAGGCCAGGGTGGGGAGGCCAGGGCGGGAACGCCAGGACCGTAGGGAGCGGGCTGACAGCCAAACGTGGGCGTGCGGTGGCGTTTAGAGCAGTTTTCTGAATCGCATGGTTGTCCCAGGACCGAGCATGTGGGTTCCTGGGTCAAAGGGAGAGGAACGAGAAAGACTTAGTAACGACTGAGCACCTCTGCTGTTTCATTAATCCCGACAACCACCTTGTGAGACAATGCTATGATTCCTGTTTCACAGACGAGGGAACAGCAGCTCAGGGAAACAAGGCGACTGGATTCAGGTCATACAGCTTAGAAATAGAGCCGGGCATCGGCCTCCTGGCTTCTGAAGCTGAGCTCCCCCACCTTCCCGTCTCCCCGACGTGCTGTACCACTTTAGGGCAATTTATTTGTACCCCTATCCATGGTTTCCTCTGCCCCTTACGGGCTGCAGGCTACTCCTGTCACCCCTTGGGCAAAACTTCACTTCTCCAACCTGTTCCAGCCAAACTGTGAGATGAGTCACGGGGACCTCCCAGACTGATACGAGTGTGGAAAAGTAACAATGAAAGGAGCAAGTGCTCCTGGGAAAACGGCAGCTTAAAGAGAGTCGATGACAGTAACAGTCAATACGTTTTGCCCCTTTACTTTAAGCAGGTGGGTTGCCTCCGTCAGTCCTCACCCCAGTCCTGTGAGGCGAGGACCACTCCCGCTTCACAAACAGGAGGCTGAGATTCAGAAAGGTTAACGCACTTCCCGAGGTTTTCAGGCGACGTTCTGGATTCACACCCATCGCTCTGACTGCGGAGCGCACCCAACGAACCTTTGGATGAGAACACTACCCGGGCGTAACTTCCGCCTGTCTAGGTGTTGCAGGCAAGGAAACCGGCTCCATTCTTAATGTGGCACCGGCAGGCACGTTCCTCCTCCAACAAGGATGGAAGTGGTCCTTTCCATTCCTTCAAAAACGTCTGCACACCTCAAAGTACTGCAGGTGGTTTCTTGTGTGCACACAGAGTGCGCACAGTATTTGAGGGTGTGAAGACCTGAGTCCAGCTTCCTGAGTCCTGCCAGCTACCGACTGCAGGACCTGGGGCCGGTTGACCCTCTGACTCTCCCCATGGGCTAAATGTGATAACGTGCTGAAGCCTTTAGCCCAGTGCCTGCCGCTTAAGGTCAGGATAGCACTGGCTGGTGTAGCTCAGTGGATTAAGCGCGGGCCTGTGAACCAAAGGATTGTGGTTCTATTCCCAGTCAGAGCACATTCTGGGTTGCAGGCCAGTCCCCAGCAGGGCACTCATGAGAGGCAACCATACACTGATGTTTCTCTCCTTCCCCTTTAAAGATAAATAAATGAAATATTGAAAAATATTTTTTGAAAGGCCAGGATAAATGGCAGCAGTAACTGTGATCATCTTCATCATCTGATTCATCAGAAGAATGAGAGACACAAAAGTCAGTTCTAGCATAATGGAGTAGCCCTTGCAAAATACCCAGGGCACAGGAAGCTCTGATCCAGGGGGGGACCCCTGGACTCCTGCTTCCTTTACGCAGGGCACTGTCTATGAGCCCACACACCAACCACACACCAATGGCCTTTTCTGGCCGCGCTGAGGAGTTTTGTCTGAAGAGCAAACACCTGGGAAAGGGTCTGGATCACTTCTCAGAACTGCAGTTGAACCAGGCCTGGTTCCCGAGCCCTTGGCCCTCCCCCGCCCCCTCCTTTCACCCCCACCAGGTGTCAGGAAACCCGTGGGGAATGGGGGAGGGCAAGCCAGGGTCAGCTTCAGAGTTCTCAGGCAGGGTAATTTGCATGATAAATAAGCAGTCAGTTATGAAGATAGATCCCAAACCCTTGTTTTTTTTTTCTTTTTTCAATGTATGGTTGCTTCTCCTGCATGCGTCCCCTGCTGGGAACTGGCCTGCAACCCAGATATGTGCCCTAACTGGGAATCAAACTGCTATCCTCTGGTTCGCAGGCCTGCACTCAATCCACTGAGCTACACCAGCCAGGTTCAAACCCTTGATCTCCAGACCGAATTTGGTCTAAGATAAAAAGCCAGGGGTTAGGAGGCATCCAGGCTCTAGCTTCCCAGAGATGGGCCCAAGCAGTCATTTTCCCTATTTAGGCCGATAGAAAAAATCCAGTGACGAATTCCACATGCCAGTCCCAGGAGGGAACGGCCCTGGAGGGCTGAGGCGGGAGGTCTGGGTAGAGACCACAGGAGTGGTCCCCGTTCCAGCAGGTCTTTGTTTCCTCACCTATTAAAGGAAGGTATTTTTTTTCCCCAAGATTTTACGTACTTTTAGAGAGAGGAAAGGTAGGAGAAAGAGAGGGAGAGAAACATCAATGTATGGTTGCCTCTTCTACACCCCCCACTGGGGACCTGACTTGCAACCCAGGCATGTGCCCTGACTGGGAATCGAACTAGTGACCCTATGGTTCACAGGCTGGCGCTCAGTCCACTGAGTCACACCAGCCAGGGCTAAAGGAAGATTTTGAACGAGAACAAGATCTGCTATCCTTTCTAGTTGTAACATCCTCGGTTGATGGCTTTGCTTTTTCAAGGCACTTGTTTACATATGCTGATAAGCTGTAAATTGCATGCAAATGAGCATCTCCTCACTGGTGTTGGAACAGAAAGGAAGGGAGAGACTCCAGAAAGGAATGTCCCAGGAGGGGGGCTCAGAAGGGTCTGGGTCTGCCCTTTGGCTCCAGCCTCAGCACCCACATCTCTCTCGGCACTCTGCTCTGATAGGTTCCAGTCTGTTCTCCACTGACTGGCCTTGGGAGTCCCTGAGTGCGGAGACCCACTGGTGCAGCCTTGCCTGCCCTGGACTTACCTCCCTGCCCCCACATAAGTTCGGGCTAGAGTGCAGCAACCCCAGAGATAAGGACGCTGCCTGGGAATCAAATGCCCAGCCCCCGAAGTCTGATGTGGAACTGAACAAAATCTGTCTCTGTCCTGAGCCTCTCCCTGCCCACCCCTTCACCACTGACGGGCAGTGGGACCCCGCCCAGCCCCTGGCACAGCGCCCGGCATGCTATGGGAAGGTGCCCAGCAAGTGTTTGGGTTTACGGTGAATCCATTAACTCACAATTTACCACTGTCTGTGTGGGGAACACAATACCAGAATGGGATAGAGAATAAAACAGACCATCTCCCTGCCCTCACTGTGCCTACAATTGTGTGTGTGTGTGTGTGTGTGTGTGTGTGTGTGTGTGTGTGTAGGGATAGACAATTAAGTAAATGGATAAATAATTGTTGACAGTGCTTTGAAGAAAAGAGAACAGGGTAAATGTGTTAGAGAGTCGATATGAAAGTGGGCTGGGGAAAATCATAAGGTGGGGGGGGAGGTGTCTCTGAGGAGCTAAGACTTCATAATAAGAAGGATTCTAGAAAGAAGTACAAGTGCAAAGGCCCTGAGGTGGAAACAATCTTATCTTGATTGGGAACAGAAGTCCAATGGCCTGAGTGGCTGGAGGGGAGAGTAAGTGAGAGAGGGAGTGGAAGGGAGTGAGGGCGAAGGGAAAACAAGACCCAGCCTCCAGGGTCCCACACAGGCCTCGGCTAGTAATTTGGATTTCATTCCCCGTGTACTGGGAAGCTAGTGGAGGAAATGAATGGCCGAGGTCACTGTCTTCAGGCTTCAATCCTTATCAATAAAAGGGACCCAATCACTGTTCCCCAAATACCCACCTGCAGAATGGAGTTAAACACAGAGCCCACGAGTCACCTGGGAACTTTTAAAGGCACAGACTCGTCAACCTCACTCCCAGGAAATCCTGGCTGGAAGGGATGAGGTCCTGACGTTGCTAGGTTTTAAGTTCGACACCTCCTCCGGCCAGTGTTTGCCTCCTCTCTCCTTTCTACTGTTCACCCTTTACCCCTTAAGAGGTCTTCAAGAAGGCAATAGGGTTAATCCTTAACGTGATTTTTTTGAGAAGGAGTAACTTTCGCTTCCCTTGCCCCCGTTCCACAGGGCTAGGTTTGCTTTTCTGCTGTCCCCGAGTCCCTCTTACCCTACCATCTTA